GAGGGAGAAAATGATATGGTAATGTCTGAATGCCTGAGGATGAATGTGTGTACATGTGGTGTGGATGTTAAGTGAAAATGTAATTCCCCTTTGTTTGTTTGTTAGCCATATAATTGTGAATCCAGTGTAGTTGCATAGAATCTGTATGTCTGTATGTCCAATGTTATTCTTTGTCTAAATATTTTTCTGTAATCTGATGTACCCTCTCACATTGGAAATTGCAATAAAAAGAACCTGTGCTTCAAAGTTATTGAAAAGTCATTCATGACAGTCTGGTGGCCTTCCAAGTGTAGTGTCTTGGCAGTGGATGCATAGGTGACTATAGAGCCCTATTCTCGACCCACATGTTCTTCCACAGTGAGGGCATCGGTTTCCAGGTGGAAGGTGGTCCCAGTAAGGGTTGGCTTGACGTGCCTTCCTCTTGGCACATTTCTCCCTCTTGCTCTCCATTCATGTCTCTTCAAATTCTGCACCTTCTGGTCACAGCTGACCTCCAGCTAGAGTGCTCAAGGGCCAGGGCTTTCCAATTCTTGATGTTTTTGCCACAGTTTTTAAGGTTAGGTTTAAGCCCATCTTTAAATCTCTTTTCCTGTCAACCAACATTCTTTTTTCCGTTCTTGAGTTTGGAAGTAGAGTAACTGCTTTGGGAGACAGTGATCGGGCATTTGGATAATGTGGTCGGTCCAGTGGAGTTGATGGCATAAGAGCATCACTTCAGTACTGGTGGTCTTTGCTTTTTCCAGCATGCTAACATTTGTCCTCTTGACTTCCCAAGAGATTTGCAGGATTTTCCAGAGGCAACGCTGATGGAATTGTTGCAGGAGTTGAGTGTGACATCTGTAGATAGTCCACATTTTGCAGGCATGTAGCAGGGTTGTATTGTCAATGTTTTGTCGAAGGCTTTCATGGCTGGAATCACTGGGTTGTTGTAGGTTTTTCGGGCTACATGTTCTAGAAGTATTCTCTCCTAACATTTCGCCTGCATCTCACAATCTCTGAGGATGTCTGCCATAGATGCAGGTGAAACGTCAGGAGAGAATACTTGTAGAACATGGTCATATAGCCCGAAAAACCTACAACAACCCAGTCCGCGTTTCACAGGCATATAACAGGGTTGGGAGGACAATAGCTTTACTGTGAAAACAGTAAATGTAAGAGGCATGTTAAAGTTGTAGTAGACCATTAACTGAACATGAGCCAACAGTATGATGTGACAGCAAAAAAAACAAATATAAGTCAAGGCTTAGATGTCTAGATTGAAGGAAGAAATAGCCTCATTCTGTTCTGCTTTGGTCAGGCTTTACCTGGAATTACTCTGGGTCCAGTTCTGGGTATCACAATTCAAGAAGGAGATGGACCATCTGGAATGTGTCCAGAAAAGGGCAACCAAAATGTTCAAAGGTCTGGAAACTATGGGTTCTTCTGGGGAATGTCATAGGGATCTGGATCTTTTTACCTTGGAGAAGAGAAGACAGAGGGGACATGAGAGCTATGTTTAAATGTTTGAAAGGATGTCACATTGAGGAGGGGCCAAGCTTGTTTTCTGCTACTTTAGACACTAGGACACAGCAATGGCTTCAAACTGCTATGCAAAGACATTTCATCTAAATTTTTGGAAGAACCTCCTGGCAGTTAGAGCTGTTCAGCAGTGGAATATACTTCCTGTTAGTCCAGTGGAGTCTCTTCCTCTGAAGATTATTAAGCAGAGGCTGGATGGCTATCTGTCAGGAAGGCTTGAATTGTGTCTTCCTGACTAGCAAAAGGAGGTTGGACTGGATGGCACTTTTGGTTTCTTCCAACTCGTTGATTCTATGCTCTCCAGCCTGGGAGGTTAATTGGCATCTATTAGCAAATCACCCTGTGCTCATGTACTGTCCTTCTTATCCACTCTCACGTATATGCACCATTGCTTTCTTCTGCAGCTATAATGTACCTTGAGTACTTGGGGTGGAGGGGGTGGCTATATTTATGTAAACTTTAAATTGTGGAATGCTTTGAGGGAATGACTGCACATGGTATTGCTTTGTAATCACTTGGAGTATATCCTTTCCTCTGACTCACTTGGGGTCCTTGACCTAGAAAGTATGTTCCTTCAGCCTCGTGTTCATTGTTGGTCATCCAACTTCAGGCGGTTTGTTCCGAACCTCTTGGAAGCGAGCCCGTGTCCCCAGTTGCCGTGACAAATGGCTGTGTGCATTTCCGGAACAGACTTAATAAAATGAAGTGGAATTATATTAGGAGGCTTTCTGGTAATTGGGGATGCAACTTAGAATGAGGAAAGTGCCCAAAGGGGATGATGCGGAGAGATTGCGGAGGTTGGTGTGATGGTGACGGTTGCCCAGTTTACAGCGCATGCTCTGTTGTTGTTTGTGAAAATGCTCTCTCTCTGAGTGCACTGTACTGCTTTAGATTTTGAGAGGTCTCTGACCTACCAATGAGACACCAATATAGACAGGAACCTTCTGCGAGCATCGTGCTTGTTATGGAAGAGACAAATGGGGCTATTTTGACTTCTCCCTTTCTTACACTTCTAGCGGTGCACTTTCCCCCAAGACCCTTTTAATCATAAGGATTTCCCAGAACCCAGTGAATCATAAGAATCTCTGCAATCTCGCTGCCAAGTATTGCCTGTTTCTAAGCACCAAGGGGCAATGGAAGATGGTGTGCTTCGCTTCAGAGATCCCTTCCTTCTGCTTTTGTGGTGCTAGGGAACACCATTTACTCTAGTATGAATTTGAGCTTTCCCTTTTATATCCTTTATCTCTGAACGCTGTGGACATTTCTCTCAAGTACTGTGGTTTTATTTATTTTTAAAGCAATATTACAATAATTTCCCGAATGCAATTTTTGAAGAAAATGATTTTAGCACATTAAAGACATTGTGCAACCAAAACAAATGCTCTTTTCTCTCCTACCCACTGTACTAGCATGCATTATTTCCTGTTATTCTTACTACTTCATCACACTAGAGAATGAATCCACTTAAAATCCGGTTTCTGCCTCCTGCAGAATTATGGGGTTTGAAGTTTAGGGAGCCCCTGGTGGCGCAGTGGGTTAAAGTGCTGAGCTGCTGAGCTTGTGGACTGAAAGGCTGCAGGTTCGATTCCGGGGAGAGGCGTGAGCTTCCGCTGTCAGCCCTAGCTTCTGCCAACCTTAGCAGTTCAAAAACATGCAAATGTGAGTAGATCAATAGGTACCCCTCCGGCAGGAAGGTAACGGTGCTCCATGCTGTCATGCCAACCACATGACCTTGGAGGTGTCTATGGATGACGCCAGCTCTTCGGCTTAGAAATGGAGATGAGCACCACACCCCAGAGCCAGACATGACTGGACTTAATGTCAGGAGACAACCTTTACCTTTTACTTTAGGGAGGCTGTTAAAGGCTCCTCCCTAAACTACAAACCCTAGAATTCTGCAGGAGGCAGAAACTGGATTTTAAGTAGATTCATTCTCTAGTGTGATGAAGATCATGAAGTTTTATATTTTTATAACCCGACAAGCTTCTGTGTATTTTAGAGTTTCCTATTGAGAGTTATGTGTCTCCTGCCCTTTTCTGATTCAGATTTTGTGATAGATTAGTTTAGAAGCCAGATGTCAAAGAACATCCAATCTTGAGTCTTTTCCTGGTTTTGAACTTTAACATTACTGTGCTCTGGTCAGTCTCCCAGCTATAGCCTGCTATTTTGGTCAGTGCTTGCAATTCATTCATAAGTAAACTCCGATGGTATAAAATTGACAGCCAAATAACCAAATTGAGGTGGTGGTGGACTTCCTAGATCATACAAGAAGCAAAATAGATTAATGTTAACCATGTTCTAAAGCAGTGGTTCCCAACCTTTTTTTGACCAGGGACCACTTGACCAGTGACCACTTGACCAGGAACCATTTGACCAGGGACCACTTTGATCACCACTTGACCGGGGACCACCTGACCATGGAACACTTTGACTAGAGACCACTTGACCATGGACCCCTTGAACTGGGACCACTTGGACCAAGGCCATTCTCCAACATTATTACCAAAAGGGTTACGAATCAGTTTTTGGTCAACTTTAGATTCAATTTGGTTATTTGGGGTGCTGATTCAGAAAATTTCATTGGATGGATCACATCAGCTCTGGTTTCTGATACAGAACATAGCCCATCCAGTAGTCGCTATCTGCTCGTCCACTAAAAACCATATTTAATAATCTAGAGTTGATGTGGCAGTAATAATTTATTGTGGGTAGTCAGCCTCTTCCCTCCTGACATCTCTGTTGCCTTGGCACTATAAGAGGGTTTTGCGAGACCAGACACTCTCATTGCCGCGTGGTTTTGAGGCAACGATGTAGTAATGGTGAGGCTTTAGACCATATTTTCATTCTTGCAGACCACTGGTGGTCCATGGACCATAGGTTGGGAATCACTGTCCTAAAGAAACCAGATCCCACTGATCTTGGAAGCTAAGCAGAGCTGCTCCTGGTTAGTACTTGTATGTGCAACTACCAATAAATACCAGGTGCTGTAGGCTACCTTGCAGAGGAAGGAACTGGCAAAGCCACCTCTGATGATCCCTTGCCTAAGAAAACCCTTTGAAATGAGTGGGGTTGCCATGGGTGAACAGATGGCTTGGAGGCACACATGTACAACTAGGCTCCTTTGTCTTGTATAGCTGCATAACATGCAAGGCATTCTTCAAGAGATGTTATTCCCAATGCGAAGTTACTGTTAAGGCGAAAGTTATCATCTTCCACTTACCCAGCTGTTTTGAGCACAGAAGCCTTGCCAGGCAAAAAAGGCTGGTGAGCCTGAGATAAAGGTATCACAAGCTATTTCTGACAGATGGTGCCAGTTTTATGTTGTCTGCCGGGTTTCCAGACAAGGCTCTAGTTCTGTGCGTTTGCTTTGTTTCCATCTCTAGACAAGTTATGCTTGGTTGTCATTTGAAAAACAAACAGCAATTAAATTATCTCCTTGTTTTGTGCCTTACAACTTTATTTCTGTTTCCTTTTCTAGAAACTGTGGAATGTTGTGAAGACCTTACCAGCTCCACAGTCGTAAACAGAATACGTTTGGGACTATTCTCTGTTGGAGACTATACTTCATCTGTCAAAGGTACCAATTCTTTGCACTTTATCTAGCTGTAAGTTTTTCTCGTTCTGTTCGCAAATGCCAAATCCTGTTATAGATTGCATAGGACTTTGCAGAAGGATCAGGTGTTTCTGAACATTCTTCAAGGAGAGTGCTGTATAGAGTGTGTTACAGCCATCTAAGCAGGATGGCATTTGAACCACTTTCCTGCCAAGAAGCAGGAAAATTGCATTCAGATCACCCCCGGCAGATGGCCATCCAGCCTCTGTTTAAAAGCCTCCATCTGAACATTAGGAAGAACTTCCTCACTGTGAAAGCTGTTCAGCAGTGGAACTCTCTGCCCCGGTGTGTGGTGGAGGCAGGCATGTAGCCGGGGGCGGGGGGGGGGGGGCTTGAGGGCTTCAACCCCCCCCCCCGAAATTCTCATGGTGGTTCGCGAAAAGGCCTTACTGGTGCATTATTTAAACTGTTATGTTTATTCATATCATGATCTGATCACCATACTCAATATATCCCATATGCATGGGGGTATTGGGGTAACGATACAAAGGTTTGCTAGGGTAGACCCTCTTTCACTCAGACTCAGCCCCCCCCCGAAACTCAGCCCCCCCCGACCCCCCCTGAAAAAAAATTTAGCCCCCCCCCCCCCCGAAACGAAATCCTGGCTACGGGCCTGGGTGGAGGCTCCTTCTTTGGAAGCTTTTAAACAGGCTGGATGGCCATCTATTGGGAATGCTTTGAATGCAATTTTCCTGCTTCTTGGCAGAATGGAGTTGGACTGGATGGCCCATGAGGTCTCTTCCAACTCGGATTCTATGATTCTACCTTATCAATGTTTTTATTGCATCTAGGCCTGCTCAAATCAGTATTGTTCATTCCATTCCTTACTTCAGGTTCCTCTTTACAGAAGTTATAGCAAAATTCTGATGAGCCTGTTGCAGATTAGGGACTCACAGATACCTGGAGACATCCTACTTATGACTGTGGATAACAATTTACATTGGAAACATGAAATAAAATGTCCCATTAGGACAGATTGGAGATTTTGAAGGTGATGTAGAAAGTCACAGAGAGTTTTTGGAGTGGAGCCAAGGCAACCAGTTTCTGTTTGAGGAATTAAATGCCACTGTCCTCAGCTGCTCGTGGCCTCTGTTGACTGACACTCACAGAGAAGCAATCGGTCTAACTGAAGAGAAGACACCTGGGAGCTGCTCACACAAGCAAGCCAATTGCAAGTACAGCAGGACAGAAACAGCTTTGGCTAGGACTTATCGCATGACATCGCTCTTCTTTTGCCGTTCTAATGGTGGGGGACAGTTTGGAAAGTGTTTATAGTATTTATAGTATTTTACAGGCACAAATAATCCATTATAGGCCCCTTTTTGTAAAAGAAACACCTTCCACAGTCTCCCACTGAAAGAAGAGAAGAGAAACACCATGTAATAAGTGTTACTATTATCCTGCTGTAATTGTAATCGTCTTGCTTCATGCAATGAGACTCAAATGAAAATTTCAACCTTTCCCCATAACTTTGAAAGTCAATCGCCACAGGTCTTTGCAGGTGCCTGTAACATTGGAGTCTTTGTGGTCAACAAGTTGAAAATGAGGCAACGATGTGATGAAGCAGCTTAAAAAGTCAATGGGATTTTGGGCTACATCAAAAGAAGTATAGTGTCTAGATCAGTGGTTCTCAGCCTATTTTTGACCAGGGTCAACTTTGACCAGGGACCACTCGACCAGGGACTATTCTCCAACATTAGTACCAAAAGGGTTATGAATCAGTTTTTGGTCAACTTTAGATTCTGACTGGTTAAATTTAGATTCTGATTGGTTGACTTTAGATTCTGATGTATAAGTATGTGAGAGAAATTCTTAGGGAGGAGGGAGCAAGCTTGTTTTCCGCTGCCCTGGAGACTAGGATGCCCAACAATGGCTTCAAACTACAGGAAAGGATATTCCACCCAAATATTAGGAAGAACTTCCTGACTGTGAGAGCTGTTCAGCAGTGGAACTCTCTGCCCCGAAGTGTGGTGGAGGCTCCTTCTTTGGAGGTTTTTAAACAGAGACTGGATGGCCATCTGTCGGGGGTGCTTTGAATGCAATTTTCCTGCTTCTTGGCAGAAGTATGGACTAGTATGGACTAGAGGCAAAGATGAAGTACTTTGGCCACATATTGAGAAGACAGGAAAGCTTAGAGAAGAGAATGATGCTGGTGAAAATGGAAGGAAAAAAGAAGAGGGGCCACCCAAGGGCAAGGTGGATGGATGGTATCCTTGAAGTGACTGGCTTGACCCTGAAGGAGCTGGGGGAGGTGACTGCCGAGAGGGAGGTCTGGCGTGGGCTGGTCCATGAGGTCACAGAGAGTTGGAAACGAATGAACAACAACAACATGGACTAGTTGGACCTTCTTGCAGTCCAAGGCACTCTCCGAATTTTCCTCCAACGCCACAGTTCAAAAGCATCTCTCTTCCTTCGCTCAGCCTTCCTTATCGTCCAACTCTCACATCCATACGGAGAATACCATTGCTTTAATTATGCAGATCTTTGTTGCCAGTGTGATGTCTCTACTCTTCATTCTTTTATCGAGCTTGGTCCTTGCTCTCCTCCCAAGAAGGAAACGTCTTCTGATTTTCTGGCTGCAGTCTGCGTCTGCAGTAATCTTTGCACCTAGAAATACAGAGTCTGTCGCTGTCTCCATGTTTTCTCTCTCTATTTGCCACTCATCAATCAGTCTGGTTGCCAGAATCTTGGTTTTTTTTAATGTTTAACTGCAACCCAGCTTTTGCCATTTCTTCTTCTACCTTGGTTAGAAGGCTCCTCAGCTCCTCTTTGCTTTCAGCCAACATAGTGGTATCATCTGCATAAATAAGGTTGTAAATGTTTCTTCTAGCAATTCTAACTCCAGCCTTGGATTCATCAAGCCCCGTTGCCTTCCTTTAGCTGCCACATCATACTCATATTCAGCATCTTGGAACCAAAATCTTCTTACTGAGTCTCTTTGAATCAGCTTGCTTTATAATATTTCCATATCCTTTTTTGGGGGGAAATTTTCTGATGTGTGTTTTAAGGGTTGTTAGAAGAGGGCCAGACTGAAGGCTACATTTGACAACTTTTCAAATTAATATTTATCGTGTCATCTGCAACCAGAACATTGTATTACATTTCTAACAGAACAAAACAAACAGATAAAAAAACCACAAATTTTGCAAACTTGGTAGTTGATTAAATGTCCTTTGACCAGTATCTGGCCACTTGGAGTGCCTCTGGTGTTGCCGCAAGAAGGTCCTCCCTTGTGCATGTGGCAGGGCTCAGGTTGCATTGCAGCAGGTGGTCAGTGGTTTGCTCCTCTCCACACTCACATGTCGTGGATTCCACTTTGTGGCCCCATTTCTTAAGATTGGCTCTGCATCTCGTGGTGCCAGAGCGCAGTCTGTTCAGCGCCTTCCAAGTCGCCCAGTCTTCTGTGTGCCCAGGGGGGAGTCTCTCATCTGGTATCACCCACGGATTGAAGTGCTGGGTTTGAGCCTGCCACTTTTGAACTCTCGCTTGCTGAGGTGTTCCAGCAAGTGTCTCTGTAGATCTAAGAAAACTATTTCTTGATTTAAGTCGTTGACGTGCTGGCTGATACCCAAACAAGGGATGAGCTGGAGATGTCTCTGCCTTGGTCCTTTCACTATTGGCTGCAACTTCCCGGCGGATGTCAGGTGGTGCAATTCCGGCTAAGCAGTGTAATTTCTCCAGTGGTGTAGGGCGCAGACACCCCGTGATAATGCGGCATGTCTCATTAAGAGCCTCATCCACTGTTTTAGTGTGGTGAGATGTGCTCCATACTGGGCATGCGTACTCAGCAGCAGTTCAAATCTAATGCAAAATGGAAATGTTCGAAAGTGCTTATTAGAAGGATCCTGATGGATGCCCCAGCTTAGTAATTTCTCATTTTCTTGGAAAATTACACCAACTTTCTCAGCACTGGTCAATCTTTAAATGGCTGGGACAGGATTAGAATAAGAGATTGGTTCACTTCTACCTGCATTTTCCATGTGCCTTCCCACTGAGCCTGTCCTACATCGCTTTGTGTTCAAAGGCCTGGTTGGAAGTAAGGGCTTTCATCCCTGATGTATAATTTAATGCTTTTTTCCTGGTGCGCCAGGCTTGTTTATATCGATAAGTGTGTGTTTCTGCACGCAGCCTGCTGACAATTTTGTAAGCCGAATAAGCTGTGCCAAATATACCTGGCTTTCTGTGGAGTGCTTTTGAATGGCAAAGGTTAGTTAATAAGCCAGGTTGCCTTCCTGTTCAAAGCACGTCCCCTGGCTTTACCTGTTTTCAATAGGCAGTCAAGTCTGGTTTACTTGGAAAATAATCTCTTTAGCATCAGATGTGACACCGTTTCTGTAATAAAGCATTCGGAAATTGTTATTGAATCAAAACACAAGTCATCCTTAGAGCAGGATTTGGGGGCTCCTGGTATTCCTCACGTCAGTCTTCTATTTTTGAAATGTCAGGCTGTCACGAAACCTGAATGTTTCCTGGCTGCTGCTGCAAATTATGGTGATTAAGTGCCTCCGTCAGACATGCCCCAGAAAAGCCGGGGGTCAAAGAAACACGCTTTTGTGTTTTATTAAGGGGCAAATTAAGACTTCAGCTTTCTTGGCAAGTCTTAATTTAAATTTTAGACAGCTTATGTGGGCGATCCATCCAAGACGCAGCAGCAGCAGCGCCTGGGGGAGGCGGCTGAATGCCGAAGAAGAAGCCGGAAAGACCTTTAAGGCAAGTCAAGGTGAAGCATTAAATAAATCTTGCTGGGAAGAAAGCACTAAAGGAGAAAAACACAGATTTGTGCAAGACTTTCTGTGGATTTCTATATAGGGATTGAAGGCTTTCCTATACCTTTTGTGTCTCTTTGGCATGTGTTCCTGAGGATCAGGCTTAGACTGGGATTTTAATTCCTACTCAGCCTTTAAGAACAGGGATAGCTTTCTCCTGTCTTAAAGTACACAACTAGCCTTACCTAAAAACAGAGG